CTCGTGCCGGGTGTCTCCATGGCGACGGCGACCGTTACATGCCCCAACCGAGCGGCGAAGCGAGCGCTGCCGAGTGCGAGGAGTCCTGTTGGGCGGAGGCCATAGAGAGGGGAGGACCGCGCCCGAGCGGAGCAACTTCCGGCCGAGACGGAAACGCGCCATTTTTGAGTCCTGCGTCCGCCCTCTGGGGGAGTTCGGAGCCGAGGTGCCATAGAGAAAGAAAAGGCTAGAGTTGACCCAGCTCCCTATTTTTCCCATTTCTATGCTATATCGTGACGTCACTTCCGAGTCTTCCGTAGGTACACGTTTTTAAGTTTAGGAGCTGAGCGACTGATAGTCGTGAGCTGCCTTAGAAGGCAATAAAACCGTTTATTCTATAGAGTTCCTGATATAAATGTTCCCTTCCTTGCTGCTCGGGACAAAAGAAGAGAGAAGAAACCTGTTGCCTCAAGAGGACTAGAAACTTGGGTTTACATGTAAATGGGAGCATGGTAGAAAGCACACCCTCCACCTTCAGTATCCTCACCGCTTGGTTTTAGTAATAAATGTAGAAACTAATATCTAATAAATGTAGAGACTGGCGTCTGGTATCTCAACAGGGCTAGAAACTTGTTTGGTTTTGATTATGAATTGAATCACCTCAGGGAGCCTGCCGTATCTCACCTTCCTGGCATCCAGAGTGGATGAGCAATTTTAAAATGAAAGCGTTAAGGAATATTTCTCTTTTCTTATTGCTCCCCAGCCTTCAGAGTCCATGACAGATTCCTTCTGATTTAGCCCCGGAGTGACTTTTTATCCATGCAGCCTCAACAAGAGAAATCATTCTCCCTCCTCGATTCAGAAAGTCCGGCTCTCGCTTAAAGCATCAGCGGGGTCTCCGGCCGAAATCGCTAAGGAAGAAATAATTGTAAGGGCTAATCCAGCCCCATCTTTCCTAGGGGCATTTCTCAAAAGAAAGTTGCATCTGGGGATCGGTGAGATTCCTCCTTTTCCCCAGAGGGAAATTGGAGCCTCAGAACGATTTGCACTTTGCACATGCCCAGAGTCCTCATCACGGGCAAGTTAAACCTGGCCTAAGCAGGTCTCTTAGTCTCATTCGGTAATTTCTCTCTCTTTTGTCTTTGATCTCCCACTTCTGGTTTGCTCCGCCCGACCAGAGGAGGAGCAGTTGGCGTAGCAGGCCGGCCTCCCTGCCCGATGGAGGCAGTCTTGGTGATGGCTGCGGAAGAAGAGGACACGTTCTGCCAGAGAACAGAGGCAGGTGTGTTTCTACGGGGCACTCCGGGCACAGTTGCATTGCAATAGGGGGTGATTTGCAATTGTGGCTTGGAAGGGGCGTTCTGGAGATGTTGGACAAGCCAGCCTTTTCTGGCTCCGCAATTGCAAAGGTTCAGAACCAAGGATGTCTCTGGATATTATTCACTGTGTGTGCATATTGCATTGCGGTCATGAAATTAATCGCTTTGAGAAAGTGGCTTCATGGCCAGGGCTCCCGGATTTTGGGCCAGCTGTGTTACTGTGGCCAGCAGAGAGATGTGGACGGGGTGCTTGAATTAACATCAGGAGCTAAACAGAGGATGAGTTTGGGAACACTCTGAACGAATCCTTCTTGGAATTATTTTACAATGGAAACATAAAGTGAGTCATTGTGGCATAAACCTTTGTGGGCTAAAGTTCAGGTTATCCGATAAGGGAAGTGTGGATATATTTACGCAGCCATGTGCCTCAAATCCACCTTTAAGGAATCACGGTTTCACCTTTACCCAGCGAAATCCAAGAGGAGCCCAGAACATTGAATGAATTGTCCGAACTGTGGACAATTCGCCATTTCATTATTCATGAATAAACCTGTGATGTGAACACAGCCTTGAATGTACCTTTCATCAGGCAAGAGATTAGAATGGGAAGAGGGGATAATAAAATGTACCTTGCATGTGACTGTGGCTGGACTATTGTACCATCTTCAAAAGATTATGAGAGCCATACAGAGTTGTATATTTATGTTTTATTTCTTTCAATGCCTATGCAAATTTGATTCTTTCTATACCAGGACTATACTCTGAATAAGCCGCTTGATGGTGTGTGTATATGTGTATGTATGCACGTATAGAACATTTCCACACTTATTGGCAGTTCTACATAAAGCTTAAATGAGTACATGATAACTGATGAGGGTGATTACCATTTCATCTTAAACGATATTCAGTAACCTCTGAAAAAGGTTAAAAGGATCTCCATCACCACAGCTGTGGCCTAAAGAACTAGATCAACATTCTTGATCAATTTTCTTTGGATGCTTTCATGTGCTGGAAATTCCCAGGAAAGCAAAGGAACCATGTTTGCAGCCCCTTCAGCGCATTTGTTCAATTTTTCTAGAATAGAGCTGAGTGCACGAAGTATCTTCATTTGGCAAGGAGAGATCATGTGTAGGCGAGGAATCACTGTTTCAATTTAGAGAATTTCTAATTTCTACATTACTTTATGACTCCGGTGTTGAAGGATGACCCACATCTTGAAACGGACAGAGTTGTTTCCAAAATTAATTTAAAAAGTTCACCCCTCTGTTGCCAGATGTCGTATATAATTTCTGGTGCCGTAAATTTGAGGTCTCTTGATTTCTGGACGAGCAGAGACTGGCCATTTGTCTTATGCAGAAAGCAAACAGATGTTACAGCCTGAATCATTTTGAAAGGAGCGAAGAGAGAAGTATCATTGCAAGGGAGAAAAAACTTTATGTATGCCTTACATAATCAATGTTGGCTTTTTAAAAGGCTGCAACATTCCTTTTCAAAGAGTGTTTGCTACAGCCAGCTTTGTTCAAGATTGCCAGGCAACTCTAATGTGGTGAGTTGTACCCGCCCTGATTTTAATTTCATTTTTCCATCAGACCGTAATGTCATTTTGGGCCCCGTGTGCCTCTTTTTAAGACCGTTTTCTGCTGGACTTTGAACCTGGCTTTTAATAAACCTGCCCGCTGCCCAGGGAGACTTTGGCATTATGCAAGACAACTCAGCCAACCTCATTCAAGAAACACTGCCGTATCTGAATTTGTCATCTATTTAATTTCTCTCTTCTTGTTTGCTTCTCTCTCTGTTCTGCTTTCTGCTTTCTTGGAGGGAGAATGAAAATAAACATCTGGCCAAGTGTCATTTCATTTCACTTGAATAATAAGAATTATTATTATCATTAGTTGATGGTCTTTTGGATTGAGTACACTAGATGGGGGTGGTCTGCTTTAGATTCAAGTGTGTTTTGGCAATATGGCAATCACAAGAGCTCAGCTGCTGACTTTTTGACGTCCTTAAAACTTTCATGGATGTTTTGGCAGAGAAGAAAATCAGGGATGGGCTATGAAAGACGTGGCATCGGGTCATAGCTCAGATTTCTTCCTCTCCCTCTCCAACCATCTGACTCCTGGCCAGTCATCATGGCTCAGTAAACCAATTTCAGTTTGTTAAGGCAGCTATTTGCTTGGCTCACTTTGTGTGGTTTTCAAAAGAGCCAAGGATATTGCTGGCTTAAATACCTACTGCTCTACAAGTCCGTTCCAGTTGAAACTGCAGTAGTTTTTGGAAATGTAATACAGGAGTTCTGCAGACAGTGGTAAAGTGGTGATGTGGATCGGACAGGAGATACCATTGTTCTGATGTTAGCTCTTTAAAAAAAGTGACCCTTGTCCAACAGCTAAAGGAAATGAAGGGAAATATTTAATTGAGGGGGGAAATGACTAAATTATGTTTAGGCTACACATATGTAGTTTGCTGGAACTGAGTACAGAGAAGTGGATGCAGAATAAACAGAATTAGTACTATCTCGTTCGGCTGATTGATTGATTGATTGATTGACTTATTTAATAAATGTATATGGCCTCCCATCTCACCGAACGTGACTCTGGGCAGCGTACAACTAACATTATTGCGATGTCTCATTATTGTGGCTCTGGGTTTGGATTTTGAAACGTGATTCCCTTGTAAACCACCTGGAGATGTTTATTAAAGGAGGACGTTATGTCATGATCCACAAGGCGTTTTTATGGATTGATAGGTGAAAAGCACCAAGTTGAGGAAAGCAGCTGCTTGTAAAAAATGAATGTGTATAAACGGTGAAGATAAATAGAGCCGCTTCTCCAATGCTGGACTCCCCAGGCGTTGCAGTGGGGTCTGGGAATTGTAGTCCAAGAGAAGTGAAGGCTTGTGAAGACTGCAATAAATGCCCAAGTGTGTGTTGGGAATAAAAATCCAGCATTCCTAGGATCCTAAAGTTGGACGGGACCTTAGGGGTGATCTAGCCCAGTCGCTTGCCCAAGACAGGATCCACTAGAGGATCTCTGTTTGAAGGGCTCCTGCGAAGGAGAACTCATGACTTCATGTGGCAGCCTGTTCCACTGGCTGGCAGCTTGAACAGCCAGGAAGTTCCTCCTGATGTTGAACCTGAACCTCCTTCTTCGTAGTTTGAACCCACTGGTTCTGATCACACCCCGTGGGCCGGCTGAGAATAAGCCCCCTCCTGGATGACAAGCCATCTCCTCCTCCTCCTCAACCTCCCCCAGAAGATTCACTTAGGAGGGTGGGGAACGCAAGCTTGGTGAATCCAGTTTGCTTTATCCGTGCTTTGATTTCCAAACTTCTCTTCCCTTTCTTGCAGAGAACGGAGCAACGTGCGGGCAAATGCATCTGGAGCTCTTTGTCCGCCGAGGAAGCCGGGGGGAGCTGCCTACTCAAGACAGGGGGCTGTGTTTTGGGAGCTGAGCCTTGATCCCCACCTCCCAAGATGGCCACCCTTACAAGCAGCTCGAGCTTGGACCTCGCCAACGCTGCCCCGTCCACCTCCCTCGCCTCGCCTTTCTTGGAGGACAAACCCAAAGCGAAAACCCTCTTCCAGTTTGGCTCCCTCTTCCCTAGCCGGAGCGAACGGTTTGTCATTGCGCGCAGCGACAGCATGCCGGAAGAGAACGTCCTGAAGATCACCATCACCGAGACCACCGTCATTGAGTCGGACCTGGGCATCTGGAGTTCTTATGCCCTCATCTACCTCACTTTGTGGTTCTTCTTCAGCTTTTGCACCCTGTTTTTGAACAAGTACATCCTGTCCCTGCTGGAAGGGGAGCCGAGCATGCTGGGTAAGCACGTTTACCTCCCTCCTTGCACCCAAACGGGGGGAGATCACCTCCAGCATGGGGTCAGAGTTTGGGGTTCATTCATTATTAATGCTCCAAAGCTCCTTTTATTCCAGTGTTTCTCCAACTTGGCAACTTTAAGACATGGGGAATTTACATTCCCTAAACTCCCAACCCGGCCGGGGG